AGAGAGAGAGAGAGAGAGAGAGAGAGAGAGAGAGAGAGAGAGGGCAGAGAGTGAGGAAGAGAAAGATAGAGAAAGAGAAGGCAAGAGATAGACAACATTTACTTACATGCACGTGTATATTAGCCAGTCTCCAGAAGTGGCCATGTAATGTTGAACGGGCTCACTGAAATAGCATTACAATTCACAATACATTAGATTTGACGTATGAGCGAGTGCCGTTTGTCTCAATGATGAATTAATTCACGGCATCTGTGTTTATTTTGCTTATTTTGTATTATTATTGATGTAATCCCGGTGCAGTACTTACATGTAGAGAAACATTGCCACTATACCGAATGTGATGGAGAGTTGAACCATCAAGATCGAGTAAACCTTCCTGATGAAACCTACAATAGAAAACAAGATTGACGCATAAAAAATACAATGAAAACAAACCATTTTAATTCACCCCTCAATTTGGTCTAATTATAGTGGACCAGATATGCAAGCAATCAGTTACATGAAACACATGTAGTTGTTATATATATATATATATATATATATATATACTTGTGTTTTAAATTAAATGTCTTCACAGCATGTGGAGGAAGTTGATTCAACCTTAAAACTCAATCAATCATAAATCGAGTGGGTGCATGTATGCTGTACACAGGGTACGTAGCACTAGCTATAATGCAGCCTCCGCTGCATTACGTAATGTGTAGGGTATATGAATGATAGGGATGCTCTCACTGAGTACACACCTGCTGCTTGATACAACAGGTAACAGGTAATACATACGTACCTTTGCGAATAACATCATCTGCAAATGCAGACTCAAAGTTGGAATATCCTAACTCAGAGTCCATCTTTCCTGCTTTTCCGTAGCACTACTAGCAACCTGTTGGTGGGTTTTTAACCTACGAAAAGCACACAAACATACAATTAAAGCGTTAAAAGTAATGAGGGTGGTCAAGTTTAGCCTATATCAGTATCATTGACATTGGGTTTGGAGGGTTATTATACTACTTAGCTTATATTTAGAGGAATGTGTATGGTGGCGTACACTACTCAGTATGAGTAGCCGCAAACATGTAGGAGTAGCCCAGTGGCGCCGCAGATAGAAGCACTGGAAGCACAGTGCTTCCAGTAAGTTTTGGGTTAAAAAATTTTGTTCCCAAATCTCTCTCGCAAGAGTCACCAGAT